TATTGACATTCTGAATATTGATTATATAATATTGTATGAAAAGTTACAAAAGTTGTGCCTTTTTCAAATAAATAAATTAAATATATACGAGATGGATTTAATTTGTTGTAATCTTTTTATTATTTTTATACGCACACAACCAAATATAATAAATAAGATATTGGTAAAACATTATTAAAATGAACTGCATGTGAGAAATTGGATAATTGTTTCTTTAAACAAACAATTCAATTATCTCTATTATCAAATGAAAAATCGGATTCTATTGTTAATATATAAAGTCAATGTTGAAAAATTGGATAATTGTTTTTTTATTTTTTTGCTGGTGATGATTTCTTAAACCATATGCTCAAATATATACTCCGAACATGCTTTAAATTCGATAATATTTTGTAATATCACTTAACTTGCAAGTTATTTATTACCCCTTACTTTTCGGAATATTTTACTCGTGTATCTAAAATCTTATATATAAAAGAAAGAAACGCTGGGCAACCCTAAAAAATCCTAATGGTGTTGTAATTATTTAGTTTTACTATTTTGTCTACTAATTATTTTACTATAATTTTCAACAATTATCAATCTCTTATTTTTCATTAATATATCTCAAATCTTAAGAGATAAAGATAGAAATTAAATTTGTTAAATCTTAATCTATATATTTGGATTATAAATCTTAATATGCAATATTTAAAACTAATTTTATATATAATATGAATAATACTATATTATTAAATTTTACTATGTGGTATATTTTCTTATTATGTATTAAATTGAATATTTTTTCACTTCTTAAATAATATCCCGTGCATCGCACGGGAAAAAAATGCTAGTAAAAATAATTTCAAAAATCAAATGTAATATATTCTGAAAAATTATGCATGCTATATGAAGTGATCAATAATATATATATATATATATATATATATATATATATATATATATATATATATATATATATATATATATATATATATATATATATATATATATATATATATATATATATATATATATATATGTGTGTGTGTGTGTGTGAGTTAGAGTTAGAGATTTATGGAAGAGAGATGTTTGTGGGGGTTTGTGAGTGAGTAGAGAGAGAAGAGCTAGATATATTAATAGTGATATATTTTTAGAATGTTATATTTAATAAAAAAA